CGTAGAATCTATGCAATTTTTGAGTAAAAGTAAATTTAAGCTAGAGACCTGCACAACATTATTTTTGAGAGTCATCGTTGGAGTCAGTTATATTTTTTGTTGGAACTTTAGTTTTAGCGTACGATCGTTTTTGGCTTGCAGGTTTTCGTCTCTAATATCTATAGGATACACTAGCGAATTTTGACGATTCAAACGATATGTTACTAAGATCAACGAACACGAAGGAAGATCGGAATCATATTGAACTTCAATTTTTTCGACTCCGATTTTCTTACATGTTTATTGACCTTAATCATATGTCGTTGAAATCGTCAAAACCTGTCAGTTTATTCATTACATATCAGAGAACAAAGCTTACAACCCATAAAGAATCTTATGCTAAAATCAAATATTTGACAAAAATTTAATCGACTACATGCAACTCTGTAACCTAAGGAGATCTCGTTGTAAAGGAGGTACAAAGCGGTGAGACTATGCTTTATTAAAAAAAATTTCTAGTCACCACTTCTATTAAGAAAAATCATGGTACATATTTGTTGCTTTTGAATAGACTGTATTCGTTTTTATGCCTGATGAAAATTACCATATTCATATCGAAAATTGATGATCGAAAAAATGGTAAACAAGCAAAACAACGAATAAATTTTTTGAGCATTACATTTTGAAGAAAACTTTTTTATTATATTACAAGAAATATATAGTGTAACAAAGTTCAGTCAACATCCAAAAGAGTTTAATATCAGTACTAGATACTATTTAATTAGGCACAAGTTTGAGAACCTATTCATTTTTTTGTCTCAGCCTCTTCTGATATATTATATTAACGTTTGCTTTCAAATAGTTTAGAAACTATTTAACTTTGGTGAAAATTCAGCTTTACTCGAAACATATGCTCTTTTAGATATTGAGAATAGCTTGTTGACTTGAAGGCTCATCAATGCTTATATTCATTCTGAAGATAAATAGCTGTTGAAAACAGAAAGATAAGAAGACTACGATCGGAAAGAGATACTTTTTTTTACCTAACTTCTTATGTGATGTTGACTAAACATTTTATTCAAACTATTTCCAAGAAAGAAGGAATTTTATCAGATATCCACAAATATAAGCTCAAGGAAATGATCAATCGTTGGTTTTACTATAGATAATGAAAACGAATAGTTTTATAATATTCATTAAAAACATTACCATAGTAGAATATGAATAACTATATCGAAGGATATCACATTCTTAATGGAATCGACATTTTTTTCTGTATCATTAATCGTAATGAATGTTTATCGTCAATCGTATGTAAAACATATGGTTGCTTGCCAAAGATGATTTTGAAATTTCTCAAGATCTATTTTCATGATTAAAAAAAGAAAAAGCTTGAAGAATGGATATAGCTTTAATAGGAGATCTTACATTTTTTGATTGATTTGAAATTATGTTTGAATTATGATAATTATTATTTAACAATAATTACATTATTTTTAATTTATTTCATGGATATGTCGTATCGAAGTTATGACTTCTATAAATTGTTTCATCGAAGTTACAACTTCGATAAAGTGACATTATCGAAGGTGTTTGGATGAAATTAAATAGGCAAATTATTGATTATTTCAATAAAATTATTAGAGTTGTTAGCAACAGATCATTTTTCTACTGATAACAAACATTTATTTGATAGAAAATTCAACAATCATAAACCATTAACGAATATAGAGAAAATATTTTTTTTTTATTTCTTCATTTTTTAGTTTTTATTCAGAAAACAAGAGATAAATCATAGAAAAGGTGATCATAAACATTGATGAACTATAATTAGGAATAGAAGTATAGACTGATCGTCACTGTATAGAAAATAGAGGTACGATATCTTGGGTCAGGATTCGACATTTTGTTGGAATGATTCGCCCTGAAGAGCTCTCCAAGCTGAAGATCCTACTCTTCAGGTAGAACGCAACGAGTTCTATCCTATTCACACCCGATTTCCCCCCCCAAAAAAACAAACCCATCCCTGCGAAAACCCCGAAATACAGCGAAAAAAGATGAAAAATTAGCAAAAATTCAAAACTGACTGCCATGATTCGCCTAGAAGAGCTCTCCAAGTTCGAGACTCAACTTTTCAGATAGATCTCAACGAGCTCTATCCAATGGACACCTTAGCTTTTTTTTATTTCGCCCCTCCTTCACGGAGAAAACCCTCAGTTAATGCTAAGTTAGCACATCCATTCACATTTCCCCGGTTCGATTCGTCCAGAAGAACTCTCCAACGTCAAGAGACACCTTTTCCGATAGATCTCGACGAGCTCTATTCAATGGACACCATATTCTTACGATTCGCTCATCTCATCCGCAGGAAAACCCAAATATCATTCTCAACAGGGCAATTTCTAGCAAACGACCTCATGCAATGTCTCAACAACATTCTTCAACACCGAAACACAGCTCTTCAAATAGATCTCGACAAGCTCTATCCAGCAGACACCTTGTTTGTTCGATTTGTCCACTCTTTCATAGAGATAGTCTGCAATTAGTACCAAATTAGCAAACCAGGCAGGATCCTGCTGGATATAATTTGTCCAGAAGTACTCTCCAAACACGGGGTACTAGTTACGACTACTTTTTTTTATTCGAAAATATACGGATTTGCAACAATATTAAGTTGGAGACATTATACTTGCATCTTTTCAGACGAACTCGATTGATCTTGTAAACAAACATACATAAAAATTATGTTCAATATGATAGCCTAAGTAAATGACGATGGAGTCATACCAAATAAACTCAGAAACATTTGATTCAAGCCTAGTTGATGCATCCAATGCGACTAACCTGACTTCTCCAAGTGACATTTCTGAAACTCCAACTAGTGTTAGACATCGAACCGATTCGATTCATGAAACGCAAATACATCTTATGGATTCAGCAAGACAACACCTGACTCAACATCAGTATCGAGTGGATGATAATAGAACTTCCAGAGTTGAATCTGATATTGAAAGACGAAGACTTGATGAAAGATATGCCTTTCCTCTGGATTCAGAAAAAACAGCTGTAGATACACATTATCAAGGCTCTCCTTTCATCATGACTTGGTTAATGAAAGTGGTTGGAAGTGCATCAGAAGTAGCATTCAATCAAATTATCGATCGATTAATTGAAGGTATTCAAAAGGAAGGTCAGCAACATCCAGAAGAAAATATAGAATCACTGATCCATAAACTTCAGCAAATTCGCACTAACACCAAGAACCACAGAAATAGTGAACGTATGAAAATTTTGAGAGAAACATGTGTGAATTTGTACACCAAAGATAGTTTTCTTTATCGAATGTCTAATCAGGCTCTTCGAGATCATGATGCTGACAAAATAGAGACACTTGGACCTTTCTGCTTTCTTGTATATGACTATATCGGCAGAAAATCAGCCCATCATCAATCATTTATCCGCCGTCTTTTTCAAAATGTTCATTCAAAAAAGAAAAACCCTATGATAGTTTACCGTGGAGATACAATAACAAGTAAAAAGCTTGAAGACTATTGTCAAGCAGCTGGAAATATAAATCGATGCTTCAAATGGTTGTGTTTTGTGTCAACGTCAACGGACAAAACTGTTGCTGAAAGATTTGGCACGAATGTTATCTACGAAATCGATCTCGGTCGATACCAATGGAACGATCAATTTGTCAATATAACGAATATATCCGATTTTTCTGGCGAAAAGGAAATACTATTACGACCAGGAATCCGTTTTCGCGTGGATCAAGTCGTTACAGATGAAAACACTTCTCGTGCACGTGTATTCATTTATGTTCTTCCATCTTATATTTCAACTCTATAATAAACAGTACACTTATTTCATTATTGAATTCTCTGACAATTAGTGTTTGTTCCAAGATTTTGGCATTGTCAAGTCGAAGTCAATGCGCTTACTATCGAAAATAAAATCTCTACGTTGAAAAGATTTTCATCGGAATACTATTTTAATATACATATCTTGTTAGTTCACTTGCACTATATTTTAAATAGTTCCAAATTATTTAACCAGGATCTGACATTAAATGTTAGATCAAAATGCAAGCTATATATCTAGAAGACAGTGTGACTGCCTTTCCGGTCAGAATCCTTTATGTTTTCATTGAAGATCTCTAACAAATTTAATTAGGATCGATCAAGAATTCGCTAATTTTTCTGAGGACGTGAAACAATCCTGAAGAAGGGTAGGGTGAGTGTGGGTATGGCTTTGACTGTCGATTTAAGCGAACGAGAGACTCGCATTCACATCCCTTACCCAGCTGTCGCGCGTTGGACTGTGCTAATAAGAACTATCAAATTTCTGTATGAAAAATTCGATTGAAATGCAAGTTGACACAGATAATGAGAAAAATCTGTTCTCGTCAACTATATTTAATTAATCGAAAACAGTAACCTGTTAATGAAATATCCAGAATGAACTTTATTCTCGTTTACAAAATGTGACATTAGTTTGCGATATATACGAGTTTTCTTAATCCATTTTATTCTACTTCTCTTACAATGGAGATGTTTGTACTGTAAGTTGAATTTACCAGATATTTTTGCATCAATAGAAAGCCCTCACCGCCAAACTAACAAGGTTAAAATATTAGCTGCTGTTGGCTTGCCTAGAGCGAGATATTTAGATTTTAAATTTAGGTATAAAAATGAATCAGGAAAGATTTTCTCCACTATTATAAGGACAAAACATAGTGTTGCTCGAGCCGTATGAAAGAGAGACCCTACAAACTCCATAAGCGCTCCGAACAACACTATGTTTTGTCCTTATAATAGTGGAGAAAATCTTTCCTGATTTATTTTTACACCTAAACTTAAATTCTAAATATCTTCCTCTAGGCAAGCCAAGGGCCGCTAATATTTTAACCTTGTTAGTTTGGCGGTGAGAGCTTTCATTTGACCCGAACATGTCCTATCTTTTTAATTATCAACACAAACACCTCCATTGTTAATATGATTTAAAAACAACTTTTTTCTTTATTCAAATATTCTTGAAATAGGGAAAGATAATACTATTAAAATAAGTAGAACTTTAGATAAATGCGTGGAATGAAAGTAACAATTATTCTTTATCATTGTTGTTAATCTAACTATTGTGTCACTAGCGGATGTCAGTGTGCTTAGTGTCGTTGTATTTTCATTTGGACGGAAGATATCAATAAGGTGAACGATTGAACCGGCAGTAGCATGAGGATTCGGATGAAGTTTAAGAATGTAACACGCAATATGATAAATATCAACACTATGAAGAGAATGAATTGAAACGTTTATACTAAAGGAAGGACCACGAGCCATAAATATAGCTTGCATAGATGCTAACGTGTTATCCCATCCATGATTACCTTTTTTATTATAGGATTTAATTTTTGTAGCCTACATACAAATTAAAAAAATAAAACTTGTGATGAAATAGATCAAAAGACTTACTGAGGATAGAATTAGGCCTTCTGAATTTGGTAATACAGTTATTTCCCCAAGTCGATGCTCTGGTTTTGAATAACGATAACGTTCAGGAATTTCATTACGTTTAAATACTGTAACATTAGGAATATTTCTAAGACTATTGTATACTGCTTCAGTCTGTTATCACATATTTTTTCAAATAGATAAGTTAAAATGAACATATTTTCAGAATTAATTATGCTTACGAGTCCAGTTCTTGGCATTACATTGAATAGTGCACCGGAAAGAATAGATGTTTCAACTGATTTTTTATTAAGATATTTGTCGACAAAGGGTCGAATCACCCTTTTTACTTTAGTCATACCCTGCGAAAGTTTTTTGAAATATATTCCAATTTTCACAAAGAATATATTTTTTACATACATGATCAGAAAGTATAATTATATTTAAATCATCGTTGAGTTCACACTTAACTTTATACAGTAAATATTCAATATCACCATCAAGACGAATTAACTTTATTTCAAAAGAAAAAACGATATAAACTTATTTTTGAAAATTGTTACTTACTGTATCGCGTACTTTCGGTGAATCTGGACCATATGTATGTCCTTGCTTATCTGGTTCACTTAAATAAAAATTAATTATTTAAAGAAAATGACAAAATGAAACAGCTTTACAAATGATATAACATAACGAGTTGAATTGACAACTCACGAAAGTAACTTATAGCATTGTCAATTTTTTCTCGAAAAGGTATATCATCAGCGTATGACCAACTATAGATAAGTGGACGTATACCATTAAATTTATTTTGACATGCTGGCCAAAATAAAACAGCACATTTGACTTTCTTATATAAAGTAAGGAAAAATTTCTTTAATATACATTCTAATCTTAAATAAATACTTGTTTCGTTGCTGTAATCCACAAAGGTTCTACTTTCGGGTTAGACCATTGTCGATTGTCACGATCATCTAGAAATCATAGATAATAATTAATCAATATTCGATAGTAAATAAAGCACTACTCATTCCAATAGTTATATTCAATAATCGATCGTAAAATATATTATATACAACACCATGATCTTCTTGATACATTCCTAAATTTCATATGTACAAGATGATATCAAATAATTTATTTTAGTATTTTTATTTATCCACCTGTAGCAATTGAAATATGATTAGGAAATGTCATTGTAGGAAATGTAGGTTGCATTCCATGTTTTGCTTGTACACCTTCATTACGAAATCGATTAAGTGTAGGTAAATTATGTTCATGTAAATAGTTATGTCCAAATCCTTTAAATTAAGTTACTTTTAAAATATAATAAAATTCTTTTATTTTATACTCTACCATCAAGTGAAATAATAAGTAGACGTGGTATTTTCGATGATTGTTGCGTAGCATTAACATATAACAATAATGCTATTTGCAAAACATAAGCTATCAGTGTTGTATATAGAAAGAGCATGGTAACCAAAAGAGTGTGCTTGATTAGTTTTTAAAAGATACAAGTCAATACTAAGAATAGAAAAAAAATGGTGTCCTTCATATTCGTCCTATGGGAAAAAAGTCGATTCCACATTCGTCTCGTTCTATTATAGGGCCCCATTAACTTATCGATTAGGACATTTAAAGATATATTCATCAATAATGTATTTTATATCAGTTTAAACGTAATAATAAAAGAAACACTCCTCTTCATATTTTCAACTGTTTCTTCAATAATAATTCTGCTTGGAAGAACAGGTTTACAGGATTCGCTATTAACAATTGGATTATAATGAAAATGTATGTTATCAAGAGATAAAATTAATGTGCTTGAGCAACTTCTGTTTCTACATCTCTATATGATGCAAGTTTTATTAATTATTTTGATGATATATTGAAAATTTAGATAATTTAAAACATTTTGATTTCGTTCAGTGTTTGTAAATAGAATTATAACGAGGAAAAAATTACACAATCAAGATATTCAAAAAAAAGTTACATTATCTTCCATACAGACTAAATCAAAATGTGTCACATGTGTCGCGATCTGCGACATATTTTCTATTAGTTCTTTTCAAAAAGCATAATTATTTCAGCTTTTTTTTCTTCGATATAATTCCATTGAATTATTTCTATACTGAAAACTCTAAGAGGTTAGATCCCAGGATCTGTCCTGCCTTGAGTTAGTCTGATTTGCATTCGACCGCTTCAGTAGTATAATTCTTTCTCGATTCTGGATCGAGATTGGTATTTTCTCGACAAAGACTATCAAAAATGATTTAGAAAAAAAAGAATATTTTGAAAAATCATCTTTCTTACGCTCATCGACGTTGTTTATATACCATGAGAACTGCATAATAAAAGGGTGAACGACCAGTTAGCAGACAACTCTCTCTCATATTAATAACACATCGTCATCGATAAGCTAATAAGAATCTATGTAGTATGGATCAAATGTAGAATCGACTTGTTCCCATGGAACGAATCTGAAGAAGATCGAAAAAATGCATTATATCACATTTCTAATTCCTTCAATATAAAATGTTGTCTTTAAAGTAGGGAATGTACTACGATTTGAATAGTAAATACGGCGTGAAGATAATTGAAAGAAACATAAGATCAAACATTTTTTCTTTACACATTTGGAGACAGTCCGACATTGAATCGAAAATTTAATTCATAAGAAAAAAAAAGAAATTTGAATATAACCTTTCGATCATTGAAAACGAAAAACTATACAGAAGCAGAGAAGTTATAAATCTAAAAATTAACATGTCTCAGTCGAACAACTTAAAATTTTAGATTTATGAATTTACTTTTGCATTATCATTCATTACCAGTAATCAAAACAATAAAAGTTATTTTTTGTTCGATAGTCTACAGTAAATATACTTTATTCGATCATGGATCATCTCTTCGTGAATACGATGTCACGTTTATCTCGTTAATGATGCCAACTTTCTCTCAATCAGTATTATTGTATGCTTGATGTTCTTATTCTGTCTCCGTTACTTTATCCTTTATAATCAGTATATCGTTTAGTATAGATTGCGATCTTTTATCATGATGAATGTGCTTATTCTGTATTAATCATTTATATACGTAAAAAATCATCTATCTCTCCGTTTGTTTATTTAATTTAACATTTATTCATAAAACAGATTGGATCCATAGAAGAGAATGAAAACGTTATCGCATAAATAGAAGATTTGGCATTTACTTTTCACATGACTCAAAATATCTAAACTCTTTTATTTGTGATAACAAATCTAATTATCCTTTTCTTCTCTGCACTGACATACGTATTTAGTGTCATGGTGAATTACTATAAGAAAAATGATTGTCTGTTCTTTTTTTTTTTAATAAAAGATTATTTTGGTATGTTGTAGAAGTTGTATTTATCAATTAAAATTTAATTTTTATAATAATCTGGGAAAATCAGAACCTGCTTTTATAAGATCGATAAGACTAGAATTATATTTTCAATCATTAAATCCGTTATCTTCACATACAACTCGTGTTCATATACTCAAACAGTCAGAAATAAAAAAGAAATCAGTTAAGCTACAGAATATCGCAGATATTCCAATATTCGATATAAAACTGCTGAATAAAAGCATAAATGTTTAGAAGCATTACTTATATTTCGTCATACGTGTCTCACATTGAATTTCATATCGCATAAAAAAATGATATTCAACATGATGTTTCTTTTCTATCAATGAATCAGTTATTCATAAGAAGAAATCTCTTAAATTATATTGATAAATACTTGTTCAGTTTCAACTCCTGTCAAACGAATCTTCATGTTTGTTTTTGTAAAACATCTTATTATCTGGATAGTAAGAAATTTAAAAACTATGATATATATGCAATGTAAATTAAAAAAAATCACTGTAGTTTACAATAATTTTCATAGAAAAATTTTAATTTTTTTACAACTTTTTTTATGCATAAAATTTTTTTCTTTTTCACTATATATGTAAGAAAAGTGGTCTTCATTTCAACTTACCTATGATTTATTTCAAAAAAAATTTAAACATTAGCAGACAATTTTTTTATCATAATAGATTGGCTCAAATTTATTAAAGTTAATTTATCAGTAAATACAAATGTCTGTATTGCATACAGAATAGATAATAAAAGGTGAGAAATCTATTAGTAAAATTCCTTTATGCCAGGAACTTTTAGAAAAAAAAATTTTTGAAAACAAGAGATACAATTAGCGATGATCCAAATAAAAAATCTCAATGGGTTATCGATTGTGTTATTTTCCTTTGTTATTTCTTAATAACTAAAAGAGATCGACGAATAATTTTTTATTTTATTTTTAGCTAATTATTCGAATAGATCATCAGTATTAATTTTTGTTCTTTATCTCATTAAATTCTTTTATAACAGAATGAATTTTCATTAATTAATTAAGACTTCTTGACATGCTTTGGATAACTAAGAAAAATATTGATTTCTTTTAACGAAATCTATTCTAACAAAAAAACCAAATATAGAGATCAATAATTATGAGATTCTATCAAAGATATGACTTATATAATACTTACTATAAGCACTTCTCTCCTAAATTTTGACTCACACGGTACAATATAAGTGCATTTCATCTAGATATATTTAGATGAAAAGTATTTAAGTAAAAATGTTAAGAACTTATATCTCTTGTATTGTCTGAATTAGATGATTTCAAGTAACTATCAAAGGTCATGTATAAATGACGTTTAGTTATTATATTCATAGCATATTTTCTTGTTAAAGTTCTAGACTCTAACATAACATATAATAAAATAATATGCTTCAATATACATAAGAAGCAAAAGACCAGAGTTTAGACAGTTATTAACAATATATATCTCATCTGATTATAACAATTATTTCTTATACACTTTTAGAAAAATACTATAATTGAAATTTGATAATTTGTGGAGAATCAAGGAAATTCCTATGGAGCGATATTACATTTAAATTATTTAATTTCTCGAAAGTTTCTGAAATAAAATCTATGAATTAGTTAGTGAATGAGTAAAAACAAGTCTAATTTATTAAATATGTAAGTCTTACTTACATTCAAGAAGAGTATGCTTTTCTTTATAGTTTTCAGTCAACATATTGCATGACATAGCAATATAAAGGATAAGAACTATAGAAAAATAAATATCATGTACCAGTTATTTTGTTATTATTTTTTCTCTACATTCTTATACCAGAACAGTCAGACGTGGATATACAGAACTTTCGTCTATTATTAATAACATGCCTCCTCAGTATTCAGTGTCATGATAAAAACTTTGAATATGTAAATTTTACAGTTTTCATTTTGTTTTGAATCGACATATAACAGATTTCGAGAACGAATTATCGGCAATAATAAAATACAGAAGTGAGGTTTTCAAGAAGTACATGGTTAATATTTCTAGATGTATATGAAAATCGTAAGTTGGTTCCAAATAGACACTGATACCCAACCCTCAACCATGTGATATTTTTGTTTAGACCTTAAAATTGAATCAATAACGTGAGACAGATTTCGAAGGTATGGGTGTACATGTCTTCTGCTTGTTTTACATTCATACCCTTTTTTTATTACATATATAATAATATGAATAAGTAACTATTAAACCTTTATCCTTAAAATAGCAAGTATTACCTCTTTTCTCGTAATGTAAATGAAAATATACGATGTAGAGTATATAAACAACCTCTTGTATCTAGTAGCAAAACTTATTAAACATTTTTCATTGTAGCAAAGAATTCAAAGCAAAATCAGTATAGTTCGACTGGATAATCTATGTAATGCCAAATCATATGAAAACTTTAATTGATTCTGGTATCTAGAAATTCAACACATTGAAAAATAAAATCTTAAAAAAAATTATATGTTATCAAACAGTATTACAGACGACAAAAAGAATACGAGAAATAGCAAAAGAAAAAAGTTACTGAGAAGTCGATTATAATCATTGTTTTCATCTACAAGAATTATTGTTGTTTCTATATTTGAGTGACGTCGTGAACCATTCTCATTTCGTATGATGAATATTATCGCTGCTGAATAATAAGGTACGTTTGAATATGATTGTTTGAAGGAGAAGTTAGCATTTTCGGCTGGCGCTTCATTTATCCGCACTTGTATGTCAAAATCAAGTTTAGTGTTTATAATTCAGTTTTGATATGGTAGTTCTGAAGACACGCTAGTATGGATAATTATTGTTTTTCTTCCAGTATTTGTTACTACTTTTTTCCATGAATCATTGCTGATGACAGGCACAGGATTTAGTTATGTTTTATCCGTGAAATCAGGTAAAAAAATGTAAAACCATTTACAAATTTCAAAATTATCAGTTTTAAAAAACAATTAGAAATGCTATATGCTATCAGCAATATCATAATTGTATCAAAAAAAAATAGAAAATTTTCCTCATTACTAACTAACACAACTCGTAGATTGCTGAATGATATTCATTATTCAGC